AAACGAGCTCTTCCTGGACCGAAACCGCGCCTGCTTTGATGTCGTTCTGTACTTTTACCAGTCAGGTGGAAGGCTTCGAAGGCCAGCGAACATACCCCTGGACATCTTCATGGATGAGCTGATGTTCTACGAGCTGGGAGACGACATCATGAACCGCTTCAGGGAGGACGAAGGTTTTCCAAAAGATGAGGCGGCCCCATTGCCGACCAACGAAATCCAGAAAAAACTGTGGATGCTGTTTGAGCACCCCGAATCCTCATCGGGCGCACGTATCATAGCCATCATCAGTGTCATGGTCATCGTGTTGTCCATCCTCATCTTCTGCCTGGAGACACTGCCAGACTTCAGGAATGAGAAGGAGGCCCGGGAGGTACGTAGTGTGATCAATGTGTATGTTTGGGAGGAAGAATAGTATAAAGAGGGGTCAAAGATGGAAGGATTGGAAGTTTTTAGGGTTTCCGAATTTCCCTTAACGTAAGGTGAATGGCTTGATGAGTACTAAAGGTGGTAAGTATCCTCCATTAAAATAAACCCTGAGATCATTTAGGTGGGTGACAACTGTAAAAAGAAATAGGAATGTGCATTAAGAGAGGACACGGCCAAATAAATACAATTAAATTGTAACATTTGGCATAAGATTTGATATGTCAACGGTAAAGAGTCGGACATGAGAAAATATATTGTTGGTAGTCATTTTAAAAAGGCGCACTCTACCATCAAACGGTTTTAAACAGTGTGCTCATGGTTTTATAATCAATATGACACCAATTATTTCATTGCCATCTGCCAAAACTGTAAAAGAAGAAGCCCAAACCAAACCACCTGGGATTAGGTCTTGAATGGGATGTGTGAACAGCTTGGGTCAGGCTGAAACATGATATCACAGGAAGCAGGTGTTTAGGTAAACACACACTTGTGAGTACTACAGCGTGTTAAGAGGAAAAATACTGACATGTGAAGAACTATTTTCTAATATGTCTGGACACAAACCAGAGAGAGAGAGGGTGAGTAAGGGGAGCTTGAGTGTGATTATTTTAGTCGGCTGTTAAATTTGATACACTAGGATTCAGGAAGCAAGCGCTAAAGGGTACAGGCAGTAACCCATGGGGCATGGAGTACAAATAAAAGGAGGGAAAGAAAGGACAGGGTGACGAGACTGTTAGGTGTGTTAATAAAAGGTCACACAAGTGGCTGAGCACATGGGCAAAGGTGAGCCAAAGCCTTCTCGTGGCTTAGAACTGGAGACTAAATGGTCTCACAGGCGGCGAGGCATACATTGGGTCATGTTAACACATTCTTCCAAGACTGCGGTGCTAGGCCAGGGTGCCTTTGCACAAGAGCCTGCCAGGAAACTACTGTAACTTACTCCAGTCCAAGTCAGCTGCAGACCCACTGAACTGCATTGGCTATGTTGCATGGCTGTGGAGGCCAGGGAGCCAGGATAGCAACCAAGGTGGAGATGGGAGAGGAGACGTTCTCATGTTTCTCTTCGGAGATCTCACGGGGTTATATTTAGTCTTAGGAGAGCCCTTTGAGCAGATCAACACATAGATGTCTACCTTTAGTAATTAACACTACCACAGAAAGTCAAAAAGAATACTCTGTTTATTCAAACAATGCTGACATTTATTTACAGCCCATTACAGCATACTAAACTGATCCCCTTATATCCGTCTCATCCGCTTTCACACTTTTAACTTGATGTCAAGTGTAAGATTTTTTAAACAGACACTCTCCAATGTTTGAATGTGATTCTAATAACAGACACGGATGACGGAAAGACAGGTGGACTGACAGAGATAAACGAAGCTATGGTTGAAATGCAAAGCCGCAGATGTCAGACACTTTTATGATGGTGTCCAAAGTGAGAACCAATCAGATCTTGGACAACATACTTAACAGTCTATGTCGATTATAAGATTACCATGAAACAGTAGTCCTTTCTGAGTAGCAGTTTGTAAAATGAACATATTGTTTAACATTTCAGGAAATACATTTATTTTATCTGCAATACTTTTATAACACGGATGGAACACGGATACATGATCTAACTGGATACCCCTAAGATGGCACCCATTTAGCCTAATGAGACTACTTGTCTGGTACATACGGGAACATTTTTCTTCTGGCCTCCAGGTTACTTAATGTTCCCAGTAATGTTAATCCCATCATTCCTCTGGCCTAGACTAGCTATATAAACTAGCAACCACTTTTATTGAAACTGGCAATGGTTCATTTAAGAATGCTATGCTAACAAACTTTCTGTCAATGATGGTTCTTCTTTAGCAACTGTTAAAGTGATACAGATTCCAAAGTCTTGTCTTAATCATGGCATGAAAGGAATATTTCTCTAATGTTTTTAGTTGTATGAAATTACTCAATTTACCAATTTGGAAAGTTACAGAAAGGTTGTGTATATTTAGTCTTGTAAAAGTGATCCTTCAGCTACAGTTTACAAGTATGGTTGATATCTGTCTTCTTTTACTCCAGGAATATTTTTACAGGTACCACTCCCAGCCAAAGAATGTATCCGAGCACATGCCTCTTCCTCAAAGTGTTTTCCAGGACCCCTTCTTCCTGGTGGAGACCATATGCATATGCTGGTTCTCCCTTGAGCTTATCATAAGATTTGCTTGCGCTCCCAGCAAGATAACCTTCTGCAAGGACGTCATGAACATCATCGATATCAGTGCCATCCTGCCCTATTTTGTCACTCTGGGTACGGAGCTGGCCAAGGACAATGAAGCCTCTCCAGGAACGTCCCTGGCCATCATCAGAGTCATCAGGTTAGTGAGGGTGTTCAGGATCTTCAAGTTGTCTCGTCACTCTAAGGGCCTTCAGATCCTCGGTCAGACACTGAAGGCTAGCATACGAGAGCTGGGCCTGCTCGTCTTCTTCCTGTTTATTGGCGTCATCCTCTTCTCCAGCGCCATCTACTTTGCAGAGGCTGACCATAACAACACAGACTTTGTTAGTATACCACATGCCTTCTGGTGGGCGGTTGTTACCATGACCACAGTGGGCTATGGTGACATGTACCCAATGACAGTTTGGGGTAAGCTGGTGGGCTCAATGTGCGCCATTGCCGGTGTGCTCACCATCTCACTGCCAGTCCCCGTCATTGTCTCCAACTTTAGCTACTTCTACCATCGGGAGACTGAATGTGTGGATCAGAGCGAGTACACCCACGTCAAGACGAACCTGTGGGAGGACGAGGGGCCAGAAGGGGAGGAAACAGATGACGGCGATGAAGATCCAGAGGGAGATTATTATGCCATTGAAGGCATCTGCAACCCTTTGAACGGGACTCTGCTGGCTGGACTGTGTGCAGGGCAGAGCACAGAGTTCAGTGGAGGAAACACATATCTGAAGGAACCACTGGTTACTCAAGTTTAGTGATGGTGAGTGTTATTTTGTACTATTTGACAGTATGAAAAATGACAGATGAATGAAAAGAAGAATGAAACGCAATGAATGAAATTAGAAAAAAGGTTACTGGAAAGTTAAACCATAAAAAAAGACTTATAATATGCTTTTTGTTGACTTTACTTTTAATTTACAGGTATTTATTACAGCACTAGAGCAGCCAAATGCAGCTGAAAAGCTCATTTTGTATAATGTAGCTTTGAAAAAGCAAGAAAAAGACAGTGAGTTGTATGTTCTCAGGGTCTTGATACGCAAACAATATAAGCTGTTATTTATTAATGCTATCAGCTTGAGTTTTACAATGACTTTCTGAATGTCTGTTATGTGCCTTGAAACTATGATGTCTTAGCCCTGTCACTTTTTGGCTTAAAGTTTGAAGTGGAAGCAGTTAGATTAGTGGCAATATAGATGTAACGTCTCATCAAAACTAAACCAAACGTCAGCAGAGCTGTCGCTGCGGACAGATTGAGATCTCTCGTAAAACCAAACCCACATTCTCAACATTCTTCTGTAAGAAATGAACAAATTCAACCTTTTTGTAGTTTTGGTTTAGGTGACCTGTATCCTTTATCAATGCTGCATTGCTCATAATGACACAGTGTTACCTATTTGTGTTCAAGAGGAAGGTTTTGAATGCTATAAAAAAACTTCTGTACTTAACTGCTTAACTATGCACTCAGTGTTTTTAATAAAGATTATATTTTATTAATTTTTTTTTAAGTGGCATTGTAATTTATGGTTGTCTGTTGTACTAAGTATTTATTTAGAGAAATGTAACTGGTGCCTCTGAAAATAATATCAGCCTTATTGATTATAGCAGTGTTATTTTAGGACATAAAATTGACAAACTAGAGAATCACAATTAATACTTCACTGGTTAGCACAATGCATCGAAGCACAACATTTATTCACAGAGGTCTGCCAGATTCACTAACGTACGTGTGACCTTTTCCACCACCACTAAGCCAGTATAAGCAGTAGCTCCATTGTACTGGAACACATGAGACTTTCCACAACATCACATGGAAGGTATGTTGCGAAGTGTAAACGTCTTCGTTGACGTGATATAGTTTGTGTCAATGGCGGCAGTGGAACAAAGCATAGAGACAGTGTAAGACAAACTATTGTTATTGTTAAAGAAACTTCTCACAATAATAATAGTACTTGTGTTTATTACTATTAACTGCTAATCTCCTTAACCGTAGCATCAGTTTTGGATCCAAGTAATAACCTAAATGTCTATGACCGTAACGAGTTAACAGTAATGTACATTGTAGTGAAATGTCATTATTTAAATGCATAATATGTCATTTGAGAAAGGGTTTTATAAATTCAAACAAAGACAAGTGTTTATGAGTGTTTGGCCCTCTTTGCACCATTGCTTATTTGTCCACCAGAGAGCGCTCGTGCTTTCAAAATATTCAGCCCACTTCCTCTCCACCATGAGTGCTATGATCATTAGTCAAAATAAGTTCTTCCTGATTTTGTATATAGTTTCTCCCATGGTTTGTTTAAATGTTAATTGAATTCCCCTGCCAACCAATGACTGACTCAGACAAACAAAAGAAAGTTACATCATCAAGTTTATTTTCATTCAGAATTTCTCTCAACTGATACATAGAGTTACGTAGTACAAAAACTTGCCATTTCTTACTTATTTCTTAGTCTTACAGAAAAATGTACTCAAAGTGCAAACTGTTAAATCTGATCATTTATGATTAGGTCTTTAAATACATTAGTAATGAACCACACACACAATAAATAAATAAATTACATAATACTACCTTTAAAAAACATTTTGAGGAGCAAAAGCTACTCATTCAATAAATAAAATCAAGTCCCTGGTCAATAAATAATACATTTTTAGAATACAAAGCTATGTATATATATATATATATGTTACTGGTCCAATGTGAACTGAGGACTGACCATAGCATTCAGACCCATTCCAAGAAGATCCTCAGAGTCCACGTTGAATCTCCTCTGATTGTTTGGCGTCTGTTCAGGCACACTCTCCCGTGCCAAAGTGTTCCTAAGCGGTAGGAATCTGGTGAAGACTGTGTGACGATCCGGGGAATGTCTTGGTGCGAGAGACACTGGAAATCCATGGTGCGAGGAAATAAAACGAGTGTATCCATCAGCCAGCAGCAGCTCTCTGAAGGTGCAGTCGTCCTCTGAGTAGAGCCCCTGAAACACACAACAGATATTAACCATCATTGAACTACAAAACCATGGAGTTTCTTGGGGAACATAGTCTTTTTTGCTTACCTGCCCCCTCAAATGACTTTCACTGTCCATACAGAGAAACAGAGATGATGAATGTCCCTTGATGACAATTTCCCCTGTTCTCACTGATTTCAGCTCTAGCACACCTGGAGCACAAACATATAAATATATACGTTTTTACTGGATCTCAAAGTATCCCATGAGGATGTTTTTGATAGTAAAATATCCTCCAAAACATGCTCTCTTTCTGATTGATCTCCCAAATACTCACTGTGAAGAGTCTGAGCATCACTTCCTGACACTCTCCCATCCAGGGTCATCTGCAGATACATCCCTCTTCTGTGATTATCTACATCATGAAAAAGGAAGGAAAGGAAGAAATTAGCATAATGGATAAAAGAGCAGCAACATTTCATCAATATGCTAATTCAATCCGTTGTTGTATAAATACCTGTGTAGAGATGTACCTCTCTGACTTGATTATCGAAGGATAAAATTGGGTTGGAGTCAGCGAGATAAAACGACAAACAAAAATGAAGTCGAACAATTAGGAGAAAAGACGACAGGCCAGAGAAATACTTGTGTTGAAAGCAAAACATTTGGAAAAAAGGTTCAGGAGGATAATGAGGAATAAATGAAAAATAAATAGCTTGATACAAATATGAAATAGCTTATAAATATATGACGCTGTACAAGCAAGTTCTTTTTGTTAAAAAGGAGCAAGGTTAGCTCCCTTTTAAAGGAGTTTGGAGAAGGAGGTGCTACGCCCTGAATGTGAGTCAGACATTTGTACATAATGAAAGCGTGATTTAATGCTGAGAGGAAGACCTGTGTTTAAACACTATGTATGGGCTTCTTCCTGTCATTTACAGTAAGCCTGGCCTATAAAGTTGGGTATTTGGACTCGGAAGTCAGGTGGGATTAAATTCCTTCGGGTCAACTATCACTTGAATCCAAAGATTTATGTATTGATTTGATGTGTTTCCAGTATTTACCCCTTTTTTTCAGCATGTGTTTTAACATTAAAGGCCTACATTTGCATTCTCTTCCGCCACCGTTCAAGTTATTATAAATGTGTTTATTTGTAATTGTTATTCAATCATTATGTTTCCTCCCTATTCTTCGAAATCACTGCATACAAGTGTAAGCATGTATCCTGTTGTTTTTGTATCTCTTAGCTATGACACATACTGTAGCCACGTGTTTATGGTTGGCTAATGTGTTTCCAAGCAATTTTAAAAGTAAAAAACGTTGTTTATTAGGATACCTCCTCAATGGTTGAATAAAAAACAAAATTCCAAGTGTTGAGTACAGTTACAAACCACATTATGAGCTATTATCGGTTCACATTGACAAATATCAGTAGATATACGTTGTCATGTAGATAAAACAACTTACCATAACTCAGGGTGATTTTTACTTTTAGAAATATACACATTTTTACAACTGCAAGAAGATGAAACACAAAAACATGTCTCTGCGTCATCTGCTCAATAAATTATAATAAACATGCACGAGTGGAAGTGCCTGGATTTCACTCTGTTTATCTTATTTTGATGTGTGTGTGTGTGTTTGAGGGAGAGAATGTGGGGAAACAGGGGCTGAAACTTATTTACAAGCAGGAGACAAGTGTTTATGTGTCTGCAGCTGTGCAGTCACAAGAGAAGCTCTACGTCACCTTGTAAAGTCACATATAAGGAAACATCACCAGGAAATGTTACGTTCTCTCGAAAAAGTGCATTATCATTGTAATGGGATGCAACTTCCGGGGTCTGTTCATCCAAAGTGATATTGTTTCTTAATCAAGCTAAAAGAGTCTGGGAGCAACAATAACATATTATTACACTGCCAAATTATACTTATATATATATATATATATATCTTATAACATTTCTAAACAGTCCTAAATCGGAGAAGGTTTTGTGGCTTTTTTATACAAGGATCCTATGCTAAAGTTAAATAAAAATACACTACATTTGTGTTTGATGTGAAGCTTGCTCACACATGTTTCCGGATGTTGAAAGTGAAATATGAACAGAATTCCAGTCATAAGCACAATGGCCAGGAGATGGTGCTAACCTGTTTACTCTTCAGCCTCCATATATGAGCACCTTCTCACAGGAAGTTACAGCACTGCCACCATCATGTGTACAATATCAATAAATGTACATGCGATTTTAAGACAGGATATTTCATAGTTGAATGGAGTCGGACTAATAATGCATCACATACGTATGAACAGGGGTTAAATAGTTTTTTTGTCTTTTTTATATCGCCTACACACCTTTTCAAATATAGCCTTTCAATTACTTTTAAAGTGCCATAAGTGCCAGAGAAATTCGACATACTGTATATTTGGAATATTTGCATGTTTTTTTATGAATGATCATAGGTCAAGATTCATAACCCTGCATAAAGCAGACACCTACAAATTATGGTCTGGGGACGAGCTCATTGTTTCAGGAAGGGTTGAGAGGTTTTCCCGTCACCGCACTGAGGGCAGAGAGCCATCTTCACCAAGTCCACTTTTCCAGTCTTCAAGAAACGGCTGGCAGGTCAAGTCAAAACAACTCGAACACTGGCTGGTGTATATAACCTTTTTCAAATCGATATTTTATAACATGTATTATGACTTTTTCATTCTTTTTTCACTATGTCTTCTTGCATGATATTTTTCACTAAGATATGACTTGTTTTAATTATATTTTCGAAATAATTTATATTATTTATGTTTTTCATATTTCTCGACATACTATACTATGACTTTTTTCAACTACTTCCATTAAAGGTACATGTAGAAACATGCCCTATAACAATTTTATGTCACATATGGACCTGTCACAAGCATATGTTTAATTTCATAGCCACAATCTGCCAATTCATAATGACATTGTTGATCCCTTCCTAAATGTTAACCTATTGGTGGCATGGTTAACTTTTCCACCCTAAACTTGTAGTTAAAGAGAAAAATATACCTCCTAAAAAATCCTTGCTCCACTCTTACCTATTTCAGTTTAGTCTTGATATATTTCTTAGTGTTGTGTCCAAGTTGAAAGTTCAATTAAGAATCTGCATTTCAATAGTTACTCTGAAAGATGACATCCCAGCCAGCTATCTGAGACCTTCTCTCATTGTGGGGAGAAACTTCCAGAAACTCATCCAGCAGCATTTTACAGGTATGTTTTTTTAATTACAGCTTTTACAATCATTATTATCATATTATATTCAATTATCATCACTACTCTCCAATAATATGAATGTAAATCATAACACAATTTGTTTTTTTTTCTTCAAAATGTACACATACAAGTAGCATATCTTAAATGTCCATAATTTAAAACATATTTCCTTTTTCAACTTAAAATTAAGTTACAGTCAGTCTTAAAACTAGGTATGAAATGAACGTACAGTTTAATATACACACGCACGCACGCACACACACACACACGCACACACACTCACACACACATACACACACACTATACATACATACAATAGCATTTATCATAAAAAATGATACAAATAAAATACACACATTTTACAAAGTCCTGACCCAAGCTTCCAGATCATTAGATGATTGATATCATGACGTTCACTCTAGAATGGTTGATTTTGGCATGCATATTAACACAAATGCTTAACTCTTTTTTTTCCCACTTTGAACAGGATTTTGTCATAAAGCACTTGGCTAATTGTCTCATTGTCTGTCATATTCACATTTGTGCATCTCATGTCTGTTATGGCTTAAGAACATACATTTAATTTCCCCTGTGTACGCTCACACGCTCCCTTTGAACCTCCCTCTCCCCAGACTCTACTGTGTTGTGATGTTACTAGTCAGAGTATGTTCTATTTTTAGTCTAAATCATATTGAGATCACCTGAAGGGGTTTCTTTCTCCCAATACGAACTGGAATGCAGTTTCCAATTTTTAAAATACAAAAAATCATTGTGTCAATATTGCCATCTCACACTCAAAAACAGGATATGTATTCACGATAGGCGATGGTCACTTTCTACAGGCCACTTTCTACAGAATCAAACAGCGTCATGCCACAACTATGGATCAAGATGGGGTGAGAGGAAGAGAGGGATAGAGAGAGACAGAGGGAGGGAGGGAGGGAGAGAGAGAAACAGATGGATAAACAGACATTCACTCTCTTCAGAATTCATTCACTCAGTGTCTTTGATTCTTCGAGACATCTCGTGTAAATCTTGTTGGTCATCTTCTTAGAGTCCATTTTTGATTTTGATCCTTTTTTTCTTCAAAAATGTGATTTTTTTTTTCTTCCTCGGGTGAGGATAGAGGCGGGGCTCTACAAAATGGAGTAAAACCAAAAGAATCGTGAAAGCTCCTGCTGAGATGAGATGTTTGATCTGGTGTTCACACAATCTATTTTTAGCTACAGATACACTGAGAGTGATTTGTTCTCACCTGGTGTGCTTATCTTTTAGCAGGAATATGTTCTGACGGACCCCGACTCTCCTCTCGGACCTACTGACAGAGAAAAGAAGCTAATCAGTCATTAACCTTATTATTTTCTCCATGCGACATCTCATCATATCCTCTTAAACTCAGTCTTTGTAACGATTTTGACCTTGAATTTAGGAATATTTAACCAATTAAATAGCTGCTAAATCTCCATCTTTCACCGTCCATCTTAGGCACTATGTTTAACACTGTGAAGTGCAAATAAATGAATAACTTCAAGCTTTATTAACACTAAAATAACACTTTTATGGTCTCCGCTTGTGTTGCGAAAAACGGTTTCTGTAGCCAAACAAACAAATAAATCACTGAAAAGTACAGACGATAAAAACAAAAGGGACTGACGTCACATAGATGACTTTTTTGGATCTCTGAGAACAAAAACACACCTGCAATGACGTATTTTTGCTGTAGAGGCCACTAAAGTGACATCACTGATGTTTTCTCACACATGTTTAAACTCTATGAACCACTGTGTGATGCCAGATCCCAGCAGTTCTGCTTTAAATCAGCCGCTGTGAGCTGCTTCTCCTCACCTTCACTCTGGACTTTTCTCAGGGTGACGGAGGGGGTCGAGATGGCGGAGGCACGGAAGTTGGCAGGTAATGTCTCTGAGGAGTCGGACGTCACGCCGCGGAGGTCCTTCTCCCGGAACATTTTCCTCCATGACGGTGACCGTGTAAATGTTTTTGTGCCGTCCTGTAGAAACGAAATAACACCAGTGATTTAAAAATAACAGCATTCACACTTAGGGATATCTATATCAGGGTCTTGTTAAGAAGGGTTTGGTTGTGACAATAGACCACAGTTGCAGAGCATTTAGTCCTATAAGCTGTGACATGCACATATGACATAAATACTTTCTTTATAAGGATGTAAGATATTTGAGTCTTCTATACAACTATTCTTTACAACTGAAAGGAAATGATACTGTCGTGATACACATTTAACAAAGGGCAACAATTGACACGTTTGGATCAAAGGCCCTTTTGTCAAGTAAAACAGTCTTAGCCTGGGCTGTTACGATCAACACACACTCCCGCCTCCTGGCAGTAGTGATTATCGTGATTGATTTTCTACTGCCATCCTGCTTTGTCGTACCTCATCTGGC